AGAGAGAGAGAGAGAGAGAGAGAGAGAGAGAGAGAGAGAGAGAGAGAGAATATCTCCAGCTGTGCATGATGTTAAATGACATCTGGCCCAACCGTGCCTGCTCTGCCCTGACCCACTGCTTGCTGGAACACAGCCAGGGATGGGAGCAATCTCCCTTGCGGGGTGGGGCAGCTGCTTCTCATGGGCTGAAATCTAAACCACCTGTCCCAGCACGCCTCTGGATTTCTGGGCCTTTCCACTGAGATGCTTTAATCCCACCCATCCTGCAAGGTTAGCTCAAATGCCTCCTCTTGCAAGTCTTCCCTAGCCCCCCCACCCCAGGACACCATGGGCCCAGGGCTCCTCATCCTGCAGCTTTCCCCTCAAGCTCTGTGGAAATGAGCCATCCACTCAGAATTTGCTGGATGCCTACTGTATTAGCAGGGCCCCACTGAAGCAGATGCTGGTAGGACTGGACCCAGGCCCGAGGCCTCTGTCAGCTCTAGAGCCTAGGGGCAAATGGCTGCAGCGCACCTTGCAGTTGCTCTCGCTGGCGTAGATCTGGGGTGTTAGCTTCAGAAAATCATAACAACAACTCCTGTGTTTTGGGCTCCTGTTCCATGACAGGTTTTTGTTTATTCATTTGTTTGTTTTGTGGTACAGGAGATTGAACCCAGGGCCTTGCACATGCTAAGCAGATGGTCTGCCACTGAGCTGCACTTCCAGCCCTGTAACAAGCCTTTTATAGATTTTTTTGTTTTGTTTTGTTTTAGTACCAGGGATCAAACTCGGGACTTCTCACTTGTGTGGCAGGCATCAGAACCACTGAGCTAAATCCCCGGCCCCTTTATAGATTTTATTCATATCATTATCGATCCTATTTTTCGACCAGAAAACAGTGATTCAGAGAAGTTAAGTAATTTGCCCAAAGGCACTCAGCCGCAACCCATTAGAAATGAAAATGTGGGGCTGGGCAAGCGCAAGGACCCGAGTTCGATCCCTGGTACCAAAACAACAAAAAAACAAAAACAATTTTCAAGAAATGAAAATATGAACTCTGTCTGTCCAATTTTCAAAGCCTAGACTTTTTCCTTTGTATTTCTGGTAGCAGGGATCGAACTCGGGACCTTGAGCTTGCCAGGCAGATGCGGTGCCCCTGAGCTAAATCCCCAGCCCACTTTCCCTTTTTATTAGGTACCTGAGAAGAGCCGCAGGGTACGTGGAGTGAGGGCCCCTAGACTGTAGTTCATTTCTGGTCCATTACGCCTCTGAGCCTGGGCTTCTTCACGTGTCAAATGGTGACACTACCCTCTCTTCTTTTTCTTTGGTACCGGGGATTGCACTCTGGTCCTTGCACTTGCGGGGCACGCAGCGGACCACTGAGCTTCATCCCGGGATAACACTACCCTCTTTTCCATTAAAGAGGTAAAACGAAGGCTCGAGTCCCCAGCTGTGGCAGCCACTCCCCGAATACTGACTTGCGCCCAGGGCCCCACCCTTGTCACGCAGCCTCTGATTGCTGCTCCCCCGCCCCCACCCCCGCCTCTGTGTGTGTGGGGCTTCCTGGCTGTTCAGGCGATTCTTGTACTCAGAGAAATTTGGATCAGGAAGGATCCTGTCCAGAATCTCCCCCTTCAGGCTTCACCCCCTTTGTTCTACTCCCTTTCTCCTTCTCCTGGTTGCATCTAATGCCTGTTTCCCTAATTCTGTGAGTTCCTCCTGAGAACTGGAGAAATCGCTGCCCTCTGTTTCCCCTCAAGGCTGACGGAAACTTCCCTGCGACGTTTCCATAACTCAGAGGACCCAGCCTCTTGCAGAAAATTGAGAAACTCATCAGGGGTTGTTTATCCCACACACATCCCGGTGCTCTTCCACCTGTCCCTCTCTCCAAGGCCTGCCCTCAGATACAGATGTGTAGATGCAGATTACACTTCAGAGTGGCCCAAAGTTCGTCCTTCCTTCCTTCCTTCCTTTCTTTCTTTTGGTACTGGGGATTGAACTTGGAACCTTGCGCTTTTGAGGCAGGGCCGGAACACTGAGCTAAATCCCCGGCTCTTTCTTTTTTTGAGGCAGGGTCTCACTGTGTAGTCCAGGCTGGCCTCCAACCCACAGCAATCTTCCTGCTTCAGCCTCCCAAGTGCTGAGGTTACAGGTGTGTGCCACCACACCCAGCCAAAGTTAATTTTCAACTAGGACTCCTTAAAGATAATACTAATATTAGTAACAGTCATGGTTAGCACCATTGATGATTGGCCTCTGGGTTTTCCCAACTTCATCTTTTACTTGGCACTTTATGACTCCTGCCATGCGGGCACTCAGGCTATACTGTGTTTCCTTAGTACTGAAAAGTCACCACCTTACTTTTTTACTCAATTTTTTTAAAAAGAAACTATAACCACCCCCAAAAAGCCAGAGTCAAGTGTTAGAAATTATCTGTAAAAAGAAATCTCTAACTCTAACTTCTTTATTTTTTTAAATTTTATAGTAGTGCTGAGGATC